TCCAGGAGTTCGCCACGGAGCGAACCCGTTTCCAGAGCATCGTGAACGACCTGGACCGCTCCACGTACGGCTACAGGGACAATGTCAACCTGAAGACGGCCCTCATGTCGTTCGTGAATGCGGTGCTGAACTATGGACCTGGTCAGGAGAACCTGGACTTCCGGCTGCACTTGCGGTACGAGTTTCTCATGCTGGGCATCCAGCCGGTGATCGACAAGCTGCGCACCCACGAGAACGAGACGCTGGACAGGCATTTGGTGAGTGATGAGGATTCGTGAAAGTGGTGGTCCTCCCTCTAATACCGGATTTTCGAATTCCCTATAGGACTTCTTCGAGATGGTGCGCGCCGAGGACGAGAAGGAGTTCGCCCGCCGCTTCAAGGAGGAGCATGTGGACACCAAGAGCGCCGGCTCCATGTTCGAGCTGCTGCGCCGCAAGCTCAGCCACTCGCCCGCTTATCCCCACATGCTCTCCCTGCTGCAGCACATGCTCCTGCTGCCTTGTAAGTGGTCACCTTGCCATCTCCTCCAGAGAGTCTAATCTAATACACATACGATTCCCCCACAGACACAGGCCACTGCACGGAACACTGGCTGCTAATTGACCGCGTGGTGCAGCAGATCGTGCTGCAGGTGGAACAGCGGCCGAACAGCGACCTCATCTCCGATCCGGATGACCCCGAGAAGCAGCTGAAACTGGCCGGCGACACGCCCGTCCACGATCCCGACGTGGCGCCCCTACAGATCGATGTGGCCAAGCTGGTGCGCCTGCTGGTCAAGGAGGAGCAGCTGACGCAGGCGCGCAAGCGGGCCGACGAGCTGGAGCGCGAGAACTTCGACGTGCAGTCGCGGCTGGCTAAGAAGGAGCAGGAACTCGATCTGCGCATGCAGGAGAAGGAGGACCTGGAGACGGGACTGGCGCGCATGCGGGAACGCCTGGAGAAAGAGTCCGCCCAGCACTCGCAGGCGGTGCAGCGGGCGCAGACCGCCGAGATGCGGGCAGAGGACCTTCAGCACCGCCTGCTCAGCGAGCAGCAGGAGCGGGCTCGCCTGGAGCGGCTGGTCACCGAGGGCAGCATCCCCGACGACCAGAAGGTGGCCGGTCTCACTGGCTGCAATGGCGCCGTCTCGCCGCCGCCGGCGCCGCCCATGCTCAAGGCCATCCCGCCGCCTCCGCCACCCATGGCGCCGTCCATGATGCCCCCACCGCCACCACCATGCCCGGGAGCACCTCCTCCGCCGCCGAGTATGGCCCAGACGATGGGTAAGTGGTCTCAAGTGGATGGGGATTGATTGTACTCCTACTGACTAAATTTTCATCCTTCCTTGATGACAGCTCCTGCGCCACCGAAAGTGGATTTGCCAAAGAAGAATGTGCCACAGCCGACGAATCCGCTGAAAAGCTTCAACTGGTCCAAGCTGCCGGACGCCAAGCTGCAGGGCACCGTGTGGAGCGAGCTGGACGAGAGCAAGCTGTACAACAACATGGAGCTGGAGTCGATAGACAAGCTCTTCTCGGCCTACCAAAAGAACGGGGTGTCGGTGAGTGCGGGAGTCTGGATTCTGCTGTCCAACCAGCTAATTCCCCCTTCCTTTCCAGGCCACCGATGGGTCCTATGAGGATCTGCGAGTGACCGGCAAGGCGGCCAAGCAGAAGGTACTGTCGGTGATCGATGGACGCAGGGCGCAGAACTGCACGATCTTGCTGAGCAAGCTGAAGATGAGCGACATGGAGATATCAAAGTAGGATTGCTGGCCACTAACCACTACCCTTTGCTAACCTCCTCCACTTGCAGGGCCATTCTCTCCATGGACAGCAACGAGCAACTGCAGCTGGACATGGTCGAGCAGCTGCTCAAGTTCACGCCCTCGGCGGAGGAGCGAGCCTTGCTGGACGAGCACAGCGAGGACATTGAGTCACTGGCGCGGGCCGACCGCTTCCTCTATGAGATATCCAAGTGGGTTTCATTTGAGCTACTATCCAGGGGGAATCTCCTCTAATAAAATATTTCACTTGCAGGATTCCCCACTACGAGCAGCGCCTGAAGAGCCTGCACTACAAGAAGCGCTTCATGCTGACCATCAACGACCTGATCCCCCGCATCACCAGTGTGATGGAGGCCTCCCGCGAGGTGGCTCGTTCCCGTCGCCTGCGCAAGCTTCTGGAGCTAGTCCTGGCATTGGGTATGTTTCGCTGGCCCGATGGCTAATGGTTCTCGGATATTAATCCCCCACCAATTGCAATCCCAACAGGCAACTACATGAACCGCGGGGCTCGCGGCAACGCCTCCGGTTTCCGACTGGCCTCGCTCAACCGGCTGGCGGACACCAAGTCCAGTGCCGCCAAGGGCACCACCCTGCTGCACTACCTCGTCCAGGTGATCGAGCGCAAGTTCAAGGACCTGCTGAAGCTGGAGGACGACATACCGCATGTGCGCGAGGCCTCCAAGGTGTCGCTGGGCGAGATGGACAAGGACATCCAAATGCTGCGCACGGGTCTGGCGGATGTGGCGCGCGAGATCGAGTTCCACCGCAGCTCGGGTCCCGCCCAGCAGGGTGACCGCTTTCTGCCCGTGATGCGCGAGTTCCATGCGCAGGCGTCGGTGCGCTTCGCGGAGCTGGAGGACAAGTTCCAGGACATGAAGACACGCTTCGACCGGGCGGTGCGTCTGTTCGGCGAGGACGGATCGGTGCTGCAGCCGGACGAGTTCTTTGGCATCTTCGACTCCTTCCTCGGCGCCTTCGCGGAGGCGCGCCACGACAACGAGAGCTTTCGCCGGCGACAGGAGGAGGAGGAGAAGCGGGCCAAGCAGGAGGCGGAGCTCAAGAAGCGCACCATCGAGCGCAAGAACAAGACCGGTCTGATGAGCAGCGTGGCCCGCAATCTGGGCCTCAAGTCCGGGTCACCCAACGGCGGTCCGGATTCCCCGGCGAAGGGCGGCGGCGGCGGCGACAACAAGGGCGAGTTCGATGACCTCATCTCGGCGCTGCGGACCGGCGACGTCTTCGGCGAGGACATGGCCAAGTTCAAGAGGTCGCGCAAGGCGCGGGTGCTCAATGGCGGAGGCGCCCCCACCGGACACACCTCGCCGCCCCGCCACGGCAGCCTGCAGCGGGAGGAGAGCGGGCGGGAGCGCGAGCGGACCGTGAGGCGCCAGTAGCCAGGGGGTGCGGACTAGGGAGGGATCCCCCTTTCGAACCGCCCTCTGACCCCCGCTGTAAAGTAATGTTTCCGGAATGCGCGAAAGTATTTTTTTTCTTACATCGTAAAGACACTTTTTGTAATTATTTATATCTACATACATACATACTACCCGTACGCATACACTACGATCTACATATATAGCACATAATCTAAACGTAAAGCTCGTAAAAGCGTGAAACCAAATTTTTTACAAAATCGAAAAGTAATTGTAATTTAAAGTCTAAAAAATGTTATGATCTAATCGAATCGAGGCGAGTGAAATCATCATGTGTGTGTAGCGTACCTTGAAATTGTATTTGGCAACCGTAAACAATATGGCATACATGCTTCTGTATCTGCAAATCCTAATCCCAAAGCTATATATCGAACCGATTTCTCGGAGATCACACATCGTCCTCATCCACATAGCGCAATCGAGTAAACTCAGCATAATCCCCGCACATGGAACCGCCGGAGAGCTCGGAGGAGCGAGCTCTGGGGCCCGCCATAAAGTCATGTTCAAAATTAAGGTATATATCGTTCGTTTCTTCTTGATTTTTTTTTAGCACGAGACCCAGTATCGAACCCGTACCGAACCCACGGATACGGATGTTTTAAGGCGCATTGGGAGTTTGCACAGACCACGCCCTTTTGCGGAAATAGCTATCTTCTATTGCAAATTACACCCTTACTATTAACAAATTATAATAAACATAAACATTTATTGTGAATGAAAAATAAACGAAGCTGGTTTTATGTTCGTTTAGTTCTTAAAAAAGCGGTGGTTCTAACGTTTTTTGCATTCTGCAGGAAACAGCTGCATTTTCTGAGCAAAAGAGAGGATTTTTGTGTTTGAAATACCAGGCGAACAGAACTTTCCAACAGGTGAAAACGATCAGCTGATTGCTTTAGTCAAAGCTTACTTAGGGGTGACAGCGTGACTGCTTTTTGTGGCACGCAGCCACTGAAATCAAGGGACATTCGTGACTATCGTGCTAAGCTCGTGACACACACCGATGAACAGCGGGGTTGCCCATCTCTAGGCTGAGCTTGCCTTTAAACTAACGGTAGATTTCCACAAAACTGGAAAAGCGTTGGCCAAGTAACTGTTTCATTCCAGAATGACTGAAATATTAAATCCCAGCAGCCACCTGCTACCATTTATGTTCGCCTGGTATCAAAAATCAAAAAATGAACCAAGAATCGGCGAAGTTATTGGGTTTTAATCATTTTTGTGGGCCAATTTTCGATTTCAAGTACCAGGGGAACAGAAAAATCCGTAGGGGATTTAATAAGATGAAATGGGCATCGCCAGGGAGCTCTTGCCAGGTAACTGTTGTTTTCCAGAATGTCTGAAATGTTGAATCCCAGCAGCCACCTGCTACGAATTATGTTCGCCTGGTGTCGAAAATGAAGAAATTTGCCGTGAAACGTCGAAGTTTTGGGTTTTGATTAACTTTGACGGGCCATTTTCGATTTCAAGTACCAGGCGAACAGAAAAATCAGTAGGTGATTGTGAAATGGGCATCTCCAGAAAGCTTGAAAATTAACGGTTGTTTTTCAGAAAGCTTCAAAAGTAACGGATGTTTTCCAGAAAGTTAAAATGCTTAGTCCCAGCAGCAACCTGCTGCGGATTATGTTCGCCTGGTATTAAAAATCAAAAAAATTGAGTTCTTATACATTTTGAGCCAAGGGTTTGCCCAATTTTGATGCCCAAAAGTATGCAACACTGCAGTGGGAGGAAGCTAAACCAAGAAAACATAGTTTATTGCTCTCTTTTAGCCTGGGCCCATTAAATGTTCAAAATGAAATTCAAATAAATTTATTTTGTTTATTGATTTGAACAGATGTTCACATTTTTTTTATGTAGCAATAGATGGTTTTATATTCTTATTATTATACTTTAATAATCTTTCGTTATGGCGATCTGGGACATTTGGCAAGTAAAACCTTACAAATTATTATTGTTTAAATTTAAATATTTCTAAAGCGATAATTTTCAATAGATGCCGAACTTAGGATCTCTTGATAGCCATCTATCGTATACTTTTGCCAATGTCTAGTGTATATTTAAAACAGAAACACAACACAACACGACGGGGACGGCGATGGGGGTCTCCTACTGGCCCTGGTCCGCGGAGGATCCTTCCTGCAGCCCCATCCTGGCCTCGTCATCGTCCACCAGCCACTTGACGATCGACAGCCGACCGGCGACATCGGCGCTGTGCAGGCGCTGCTCGAACTCGGCGTAGGAGATCTGGTCGCAGCCGGAGAACCCGAAGGCCTGCTGCTCCAGCAGCTGCAGTTCGGCCTCCACCTCGGGCCTGCGGTCCTGGCCCTCGCCTGAGGGCGTCTGATCCTGCGGCGGATTCCAGATCGGATCGAGGAGGCTGCGCATGATCTGGCGGAAGTCGTCGCGGGTGATGCAGCCACTGCGCCGTGTGTCGAACATCTTGGTGAGGAGGCGCAGCTTCTGGGCGCGTCCGTCGCGACGTCCCGTAGACGAGCTGCGTCCAAACTGGGGCACCAGGAAGGTGGCGCAGGTCTCCACGAACTGGGCGAAGTACAGGCGGGCGCTGGGATCGCGGCTGGGGAAGAAGCCGTCCACGATCTGGCGGTGGAGCGGATTCAGCGAGAGCTGCGGGATGCGCAGCAGGTCGGTGGGCGTCAAGTAGCCGCGCTGGTGGCGATCCAGGCTGCGGAACCGAGTGTGCAGCTGCTCCAGTTGCTCGGCGGACAGGCCCGTGGCCTGCTGGTGGTCACCCAGTTGGGCGGGATTCAGCTGGCGACTGCCTACCGCGCCCATGCCGAGATATGCCGATCTGGTTCCAGTTGCTTCCAGTGTTTCAGTTTCGGGACATTCAAGTAACCTTGTAAGTATTAGAGTTCAAAAAACGTACTGCTAACAGCAAACCCTAAGCTAACTCACCCGTCGGAATTTGGTTGCCAGGGGTAGTGCGATTGGGTCGATATTCAGCCGTATTGGAGGTATTGGAGGGTCGAATTTGTAAGCCGTTTTCGGTTTCGATATTTCGTATTACCGATGGCATTCAGGATGGGAACCCAAAGCTGAACTTCTAGATTTTATAACTTGAGATATTGAATCCCGATTTTATGATTTTGTGGTTGAATTCTGTAATATTCTGCATTAAAATTTACCTTTTTAGAGAGGGTCAAAATTTTTACCCATTTTCATGTTCGATTTTTCCGTATTTCCAAAGGCTTTCAGGATGGGAACCCAAAACTGTTCTGCAAAAATCCATATCTTGAGTTATTGTATCCCGATTTAGACATGGCATACCTCTTTGAGTTTGTGGTTAAATTCTCTAATATTCTGCATTAAAATTTACCTTTTTAGAGAGGGTCCAAATTTTTACCCATTTTCATGTTCGATTTTTCCGTATTTCCAATGGTTTCCGGAATAGGAGCCCAAAAATGGACTTCTAAATTCCATAACTTGGGTAATTGGATCCTGATTTTCAAGTGGGATACCTTTATGAGTTTGTGGTTGAATTCTCTTATATTCTGCATTTAAATTTACCTTTTTAGAGAGGGTCAAAATTTTAACCCATTTTCATGTTCGATTTTTCCGTATTTCCAAAGGCTTTCTGGATGGGAACCCAAAACTGTTCTGCAAAAATCCATATCTTGAGTTATTGTATCCCGATTTAGACATGGGATACCTCTATGAGTTTGTGGTTGAATTCTGTAATATTCTGCATTAAAATTTACCCTTTTAGAGAGGGTGCAAATTTTTACCCATTTTCATGTTCGATTTTTCCGTATTTCCAATGGTTTTCGGCATAGGAGCCCAAAAATGAACTTCTAAATTCCATAACTTGGGTAATTGGATCCAGATTTTCAAATGGGATACCTCTATGAGTTTGTGGTTGAATTCTCTAATATTCTGCATTAAAATTTAGCTTTTTAGAGATGGTCATAATTTTAACCCATTTTCGTTTTTTCCGTATTTCCAATGGTTTCCAGAATAGGAGCCCAAAAATGGACTTCTAAATTTCAAAACTTGGATAATTTGCTCCCGATTTTAAGGTGGGATACCTCTATGAGATTGTGGTTGAGTTCTCTAATTTCCTGCATTTAAATTTACCTTTTTAGAGAGGGTCATAATTTTTACCCATTTTCATGTTCGATTTTTCCGTATTTCCAATAGTTTCCGGAATAGAGTCCAAAAATGAACTTCTAAATTCCATAACTTGGGTAATTTAAGGTGGGATACCTTTATGAGTTTGTGGTTGAACTCTCTAATATTCTGCATTTAAATTTACCTTTTTAGAGAGGATCCAAATTTTTAGCCATTTCCATGTTCGGTTTTTCCGTATTTTTAATGGTTTCCGGAAAGGAGCCCAAAAATGAACTTCTAAATTCCATAACTTGGGTAATTGGATCCTGATTTTCAAGTGGGATACCTCTATGAGTTTGTGGTTGAATTCTCTAATATTCTACATTAAAATTTACCCTTTTAGATAGGCTTACAATTTTAACCATTTTCATGTTCGATTTTTTCCTAATTCCAAAGACTTTCAGAGTGGAACCCAAAACTGCACATCTGGATTCCATAACATGAGTTATTAGATCCCGATTTGGAAGTGACATACCTCTTTCCAATTGATTAATATTTCGTTCGCAATAATCAACCTGTAGCTTTGGTCCTAAGTCCACTTGAGGAACGGAAATAATTATATTCAATGCCTTATGTTGTGGCCAGTTGTTGTGGTTGGTTTAAATCCCTGCTCGAGAAAACAGATCATATCGGTGGTCCAGCGGGTGGCAGTGGGACATCTATTTGTGCGCTCGACCTTGGGGCCAACGAAATCGAAATAGTGGAGGAGGAGAGCACTCTTGGCATTATTTCTGTGTCATTTTCATTTGTTGACTTTCGCAAAATGCCGCATAAATCAAAACGGGCGCTGTCAAGGCCGCAGGGGCAGGGGGCGGGGCTGGGCCACTTCCGCGCCATCGTCGCCTCTGACGCACTATATCGAGAGTGCTATATCTTATTCTTGAGAGCCCCCTCAGCCGCCCACGTCACCTGATGCTCCCCTCTCCAGGGGCGGCGGAGACGCCACGGTGCGTGCGCCTTGGCCGGTTGCCAGCTGCCAGTAGAGCCCCCTCGCCGCCGCCCCTGGTGACCAAGCTAACTAATTGGCCCGCTTTCGTTGCGTGTCTGTCGTCCGCTGGCAAGGCTGGAGGGCAAGGTGAAGTGTCCGTCGTCCAAACAAAGCAGAACGCAGAAAGGCTAACAGGCTTAGCAGACACTCCTGCAAACACAAGAACAATTCTTAAGTTAATACAATTTGTAAATATCTTTAATATAGCAATTACTGTTGAAAAAGCGGTTTCTCATCCTGACTATAAACTAAAAGTAGGTTTTAAACCTAAAAAAGCTATTGCCACTTTTAAAGTAGCAACTAATGTTGGAATACAATACCAACATTCAGTCCTTTTTTCTCGTCCTCATGGAAAGATCCGAAATGAAAGTAAGTTTAACCCCCGAAAACGAATTAAAAATTCATTTTAAAAATCTACTACAAGGTAAGCTAAAAAAGTAGGTTTTATACCTACAAAAATTAAAGTTTAATCCTTACTTTAATTTTTACATGAGGATGATAAGTCGGTTTTAAGTGGGAACACTTAAGGAACAGGCCTCAAAGCAAAGAAATCAAGCTTAGCGGGGACACAAACAGGGAGAACAGCTTGATCAGCGTTTTATTCAGACATGAACCACATTTGGAAACTCCAATCAAGTGGGATTAATGATCAATGATCAGTGATTCATAGACCTCAAGCTGTGGATCGCACGTTAGCTACATCGATTCAGATCCCGTTCGCAACCCCTGGGGGTTGATGACAAACAAACAAACAAATAGCTATTGCCAATGCAATTGGCCCGACCTCTGTGACTATGATTGAGCATACAAATTACGAATATGCTTTGCATATAGAATCGCGCGATCCAAGCGAAGCTAAAAATACGTACAGAAAAACTCTTACATTTGACGATCGCCAATTCCACTCGCAGCTGAGTAATGCGCCGAAATGTGTATGAGAAGCGTTTTTCTTCTCAACGTTTTCTGAGGGAAAAGCAAAATAAAAGTCATATATGAGAAGAAAAAATAATGAAAAATGCGCAGCACATGCCGCCGGCTGTCCGCTGGCCCCATCCCCATACCCATACCCATTCCCATCCCCATTTGCCGCATTTCTATCCCCGAGGCTGAGAGCAAAATCGACGAAATGCCTGGCGAGTGTCAAAAACGCGTCAAGATCAAAGCGAGCACGAAATTTCACCGCCCAGTTGCCAAATGCAATAATAAATTGGCCACACTAGACAACAACAGCAACAACATTAACCATTTATGAGTACCCACAATGGGGATCGCAAAATTAAGAATATTATACGATGCAGCTATCCTTGATTGATCCCACTATGGTTGCGAGCCCGACTGCAGCTTGGCAGGATCGCTGGGTTCGTGTCCAAGCTCGGTTTGTGAACCAACTACATTTGAAGATCAGTTTTTAAAAAGTACAATTTACCTAAGATTGTAACGCTATATTGCTATCATTTTCACCCCGACTGTCCGCAGAGTTCCTGGCTTTCCTTTGGCGCGTACAAATTGCACAAAATGTTTTTTGTTTGTTCAACAATTTGCGGCCCACTGCTGCCATATGTCCGAGGCCCGCGGTTCGTTTGCCATTCGAATGAGTCAGGCGGACAGCCGATGGATTGGATTGGATTCGATTCGACTTGCTGATGCCATTACTGCGGCATAATGAGACAAGTTTAATGCATTTAAATGAACTCGATTATGGGATTACGAGCGGGCCTTGCAGTGCGGCCATATGGCACACCCCCAGCAGCTTGATGCACCAAGGATCTGGATGCAATGGCATATTAAATTGTCCTTACATCTGGTGAATGCTTGGAAATATTTGTTTAGAATCTCAAAGGAAAATCCAGGCGTTACCGATACATTGCTTCTTAACTCATCAGCACACACCTGTAACCTGTTGAAATAAAATGGGCAATTGTATCAATAGAATTTTAGAACTAAAGAGCTAGAAATACATTTATTTGGTATCTAAGGCATTTCGGTTTTCTGTATTTCGTACTCGAAAAACCTTTTAGCTTAACAGAAGCTACACTGATAAAAAAAAGTAGTAATTATTCATTTGTTTCTCAGTTATTCGTAGACCTGTATACTATACAAACATAGGTGGTTATACTATTCATGTATCACAACGTTTTTAGCCTTACTGGAAGGTGTGACTTCTTATGATTTACAAATTTCGACTGGCTGTCAGCAGTCTTATAAGCTAAGATTGAGGATGCGTATCTAATATTTTTTACCTATATTAAAATATTAACATATTTAACCCTTAAGATTTAATTTTTCTTTTTGGATTCAATTTAAGTATGTAATACGAAATTTTAGAATCAATATGTATGAGTTTTACTTGCAAACCTAAAAATGAACATTATGATTTTTTTAATGAAGAAAAACCGATAAATTATTATTGTTTACAGTCCCTGATAATTTTATCAGTGTAAATAAAAAATATTTTTGTTTTTTCGAATTAGTTGGGTGATTAGAAGCCGGGGGCTGGGCACCCCTGCTTTCTGAGATACAAGATTACCCTGCCATTTCCCCCTTTTTATGCTCCACCACCCCAACCTCCATCCAGCTTATTGGACGAAAACAGAAACAATATAGTAATATAATAATCAAAACATTTTAAGCGCCCCTCAAGGTTGTCCGCCGGCAAACAAGTCTCGCAGAGAGGTTTTTTTCGGGTTTTGGGGGGCAGTGGAAGCGGACGTGTTGGTAGCAGACTGGCAAATGCCCTACTGTGCAACAACAACAATGGCAGCGACAAAAAAAAATTAAACAAAAACAAAATGTGGGGGGGGCCAAGGGAGGTGGGTGGTAGGTGGTGGTAGCGCCACACAAAATAAGCAAATGACAGGCAACAAATTGTAGAGCGACGCTATTTTTTACATTCTTTTTGCGTTCTGGCGCTTTTGTTGTTCTCGAGTTGTTGCTTTTTGCGTTAGTTTTGATTAATTAATTTCCTGACTAATTCATCCACAATGCGCGACTCGCTGGAGCCGCAGCAAATGTGCCAAAAAAAGCATAACAGAGGAGATAGAGCTGCGGAGAGAGATGGGGATAGCAGAGTAATTGCGAATAATTGGAAATGATTGCGTTTTGCTTTTCGGGATGCGAACAATTCTTTATTAGAACAGCGCAGCGAACTGAAAGTGAAGTGGAAAATGCAGGGCTGAATAAGCAGGGTCTACGTTTTTGGAGCATTCCAGGAAGCTTTGAAAATACGAAATATACCAAAATACCAAAAATACAAAAACGCGAATTCTTTAGAATAAGCTAAAAACTTGGAAAACGCTATTATGAAGCCAAGTTCCCAACCTAATGGAAACGTGACTGGGATCAGATAACCTAAACATCCTTAAAAAAACGTAAATATAGCAGAATATAACAAAAACCGCGAATTCTTCAGCATTGGTTTAAAAAAAAGATAGCGCTTGTGTGTGTCCAATTTCGAAACTCGAGTTAAGGAGTTAATGATTTATCTTTTTGATGCTTTACTTTAATGATTGCAATATTGCCGAAGGATATTATAAATGGCGTCTGGCATTCAGAGATGCACCTTTTAACCCACTGTCCCATTGAAGTTGGGAGCAAATCGGCCTTCATTTTGTGGTTATGACAAATGTGCCACATATTATTAGTTGACTCGTGAGTTCGGGTTAATGTCAGGCTAATGGTGAATGGCGAATGGCGACGGGCGACTCATCGCTTTCGCTGCTCGGCAGATGCCTACAGACTGATTGGCTGGAGATTCAGAGGCTAAAAATAGTTGTCTTAGACTGGGCTTGCAGCTACGAGCAATCGCGAATGTAAATTTAATAGATAGGCGACTTGGGCGAGCGCTTCTATAAATATTTGCCCAACTAACCCAACGATTCGAACCGAGCGGAGCGGGTTGGATCGGTTTGGATCGGATCGGAGTATCATGAATATTATCGACGACGCACTGTCGTTGAGTCATGCGCAAATAACTTGGCTTATTAGAAATTCAAAGACACCACACCACACGGCTCCACACCCTCCGCCTCCAATCGCCTGTGGAGTAACATAAAACCACCGTCCAGCAATGCCATTCAAATGCAAATGAGCTTAATCAAAAGCAGAGCTGCCCGCCGGAGCGTCTGAGCGGCTTTTTGGTTTTGGCCAGGCCCAAAGTGCCCAGTGCTAGAGATGTGCGCTGCGCCATTTGCTAATCACGATGGGGCGGGGTTCCGAAAACTTGGAGGACTTAACGACTCACGCAAAAGCGGAAAGCTGCTTATTAAGTGCCATTAAGGTTCTCAAAATATTGGGGAGGCTGGCTGTATTTCCAATCAATCAACTTGGCGAAAGCAGTAAAGCTCTCTAACTGCTATTGCACCACCTGGCGTATACGTAACATTCATACGCTTACCTTTCATTACATATCTCCTGTGCTCTTATTTCGGGTATTACCTAATAAAAATAAAAATGAAGTTGCTTTACAGGTGATACTTGGTAATTAATTATGTGTGCATACCTATAACAGCTTACAGTAGAGCAATCCAAATGTTAGGCAGAACCTGAAAAATTCGCTGTGTATGCATGTAGAGAACTTAAACAAGAGATCGTAGCTCCATCGCACAATCTCTCAAAAACACAATGTTTACAATCCCCACGATGATTTAGCATCGGTTCACGCGATTCACGCACATCTCCCGAGCTGAGGAAAGACAATCGCCTGGTCGGTTGACAAGTTGGCAGCTCAGCGGGACTTCCACGGTGCTAGGGTGTTAATGAAAACAGCAAAAACGGTCTAATCACAAAATATATATTTGATTTGCATATAAATTATCAGGATTGTGATTTTGTGTGTGTGTGTCGTTTTAGCCATTTCGATGCGGACAAACCACAGCAAACTTGGCCAAAGGCTTTAATCAGTATTTTTCGCTTTTCAAAACACAGTTTAATCACAGGTCGATATTTAAAACTAAAGAAGAAATGAAATAATTTCATCGTTTTGATTTTTAAGCTGCTCTTTCCATTTTCTTTTTACTACAGTTCGGCTCATAAAATAATCTTGACTTCTTTTAATGGTCGTTCGTTCAATTGTTGAACAAGCTGCTTGAAAATATTAACTTAAATTCTTAAAAAAATTTATTTAAATTGCAATTTTATTGGAGTCAATACACATACTATACTTATGATAAATCACATTAAAAGGTAGGAAAAATTGTACACCCTCTATTCGTTAGCTTTTTCCATAAAGGTGATCCAAAAATGACTTTCAATAGAAGAAATATGAAATCTCAATTTTAAAGTGCCTAAACTTTAATAACCTAACAAACTAACCAGGAGAAGTAAGAGCGGAAATCTTCGGTTAGTCATGCCATCGCAATCCCTTCCTCAAGATGGTGTTGTGGGTACCTCACCTATAGGAAGTTCCCTTGTAAGCCCCACCCCTCGGCACTTCAGTTAGCCTATAGCCGAGCACCTCGCAGATAGCGGACGATCGTGAAATCATTTGGCGAAAATAGCGACAATTACTTAACGCAATTAATAAATTCAAGAATTCAAGCCGGCAACTATTGGCAATAAATTAAAAGCGCCCCGGCTGATAAAGACCTAGGTATACGGATCGATCGGATGGGGTTGGTAATCGTTGGTAACGAGTTGTAATTGCTAATTATAACCGAGGGCCGACGAAATCGCGAATCGCAGATCGGAACTGGGGGCCGCGGATTGGCCAGCCGGGATGGGTTATCACCCGCCAATCGTCGTACTGATTGATAGCCACTAAGGGCTGCAGGGGTGGTGGTGTACGGGGTGGTATACCCGAACACCCCGATTAGATTGCCGCATTAAGTCATGCTCTATATGGGGGCGCGATCGCTATCTTTCCCCAGGTCCGTGCGGAAAATCCTTCGGTATTTTTCCAAAGAGATCTCCGGGTGTTTGCGTAGTATTATTGTTTCTTTGCCGTCGCCTTTTTTATTGCATTCTAAATCAGTGGGTGTTAGGGTGTACAATCTTTAAAAGGAGGGTTTCATGGTCTATTCCTTGGGGGGAAAATTAAAAGCATTTCGATCACAACAGTTTAGGACCTACATTTTACTTTTACAATAACTTCGTTTTATTTAAAAACTTCGAAGAACCCAGTAAACGTCTTGCTCAAGGTCGGTTCACAAAAATGTTTACTCGGTTGATACTATCTCGCCCAGCTGTTCCTGTCCCAACTAAATACAAATAAATAAGCATGTACGCTGCCAAATTAAAAATAACACCAACACACGGCCGAATGAATGAAATATTGTAATCTCCATTCCATTCCAATTCCATTCCACTCAGAGTTCACTTGTAGGTTGAGGATATGATTCACTTCAATTGAGAACATTCCAGCGCTCAACGGTCGCTATCAGGCAGAGGCGTTTCGCGAGGGGGCGACTGTTTGGCCCAGTGCCATCCCCCGGAACCGACGCCCCTGCCAACCTCAGCCTTATCAGCGGAGGAACTACTCCAAGCTTCGGTGTGCTTAGCAGCAGTCCGTTCAGACCGCTCCACTTCCCCTGAGAATATGAAAAGATTCCATCTGCGCTGAGGCCGAGTGCCCCTTGAGCCCCAGACTCCCCGCTTTTATACCATCGAAATTGTATAGTATACAGGTCTGACACATATTTTTTAGCATGGGCATTCCGCCCTTTAGAGCACTTTAATTTCAGAGCTAACTAACATGAACTCTTTATAGTATATAAAGCTATTCACTTGAAACTAAGAATCAATGTCTTATCCATCCGTATATGAGCCCCATTATCCCATAGAAATGACACATATTTTTTAGCACTACCATTCCGCCCTATAGAGGCACTTAATTTCAGATGTAACCAACTTAAGCTTACATGTAAAGCTAAAAAGCCCGAACCCGAGCTCGAAACTCTTAAATGCTACTAGTCTAGTTCAATAAAATTTATTTTCTTTATCTATCCATCAGATATGGTAAATAGCCTTTCTGTAATTAAAAAATTCTGAAAGTACATATTCGGTAGAAAAATTCCAGAGCTCCCGTGTAATCATAGCAAGCCCCCGAATTGAGCCTACACATGAGACCCTTAGGGTTATGACCACGCAGCAGACACCACCGTATATCTGGGCTCAGGAGGGAAAAGTCGAGATCTGGTGGGTCCGGTGGGTGTTCTGAAAACCGTTTGTTGACGCCATTAACCACATGCCGGGCCAAATCACATACGCAAATATGCTGGGTCACCCCCTTTTCGTGCACCCCCTTTCACCTTCATTACAATAAAAAAAAAAAAAAAAAAGAAAAAGTCAACGGCTGTCCGCTGGAAATGATTGGGGAAACCTGTGACCTGTGTCCTTCGAGTGTTTGAATTAATTGCGTAGCGCACGCCCGCTTGGCGACCATTTGGGGGGTGGCCTGTGGGCGGTGGGCGGCCAGCAGTGGGTGGTGGACAGTGGGCGTTAGCCACGGCCCACACAATAAATGACTTTATGTCCTAGTCCACCGCTGACGCCGGCGTCGCCGCACATCCGCAGTCCGCAATCGCACAGTCCCAGTCTGCGGTGCTCCGTTCCCAGTTTTACATCCCACATTAGTGTTGGCAAAATCGTTTGGGATACTTACCACTGATAAGGAAGCTTTATATGTATAAATATACAAAAAATATATATTCAAAATGATCTAAAAGATATAAGAAAGTAACAATCTACATTCTCTTGAAGCATTATTAATTTAATAAAATCAAAGGAATTAAATCCAGACCTTCAGCACAATATTCTCATCAATTTTTGTATTATTGTAATGATCCTAATTGTATCCATCAAGAAGAAGATTTCAAAATTAAATACAGGTACTTATGATAGGGAGCCATAAAAAGCACTTGCATTTTCAAATCAGTTAAAGACTGTCTAAAGGTATGAAGCTATATATTTTTCATCCGCAGTACGATGGTTCATTCCAAATAAAATACTTGATTTCACTGAATACTTTTGGATACCTTTATGAGTGATTCTAAATTCGTAGTGAAAAATTATAGAAATGGTATAATATAGCAATAGTTTTATATACAACTCAAAGATTTTCAAAATTAAGTAGAAACAGAAATCATTATGACTTTAGACCCACTTAAGGTGTCTAAAAGTATGCAACAATATATTTTAAGTCCGGCAGTCCGGCTACTGCATACTTTTGGACACCTTGATGGGTGATTCCAAAATCCTAGTGATAAACTGTAGTAGCTATATCGGAATGGGCAGCACTGTCTCCATTCTGCATACCCTGTCCGTTGGCCAATGTCCGCCTGTCCGCAGAACGCGTGTTGCTCGTCGAGTACATAAAACTGGCGCCACAAGTCTGCACACAAAATGGCGGCCCACTTGGCCCGGACTAGGACCCACAACCAGACCCGAACCCGGACCACCCGGACCACCAACCACCCGGACAAGCCGAGGACTTGCGCTCCGGCAATGTCTCCATCGGCGGCGCTGTTTTCCTTCCCGCCGTCCGCTTTATTATACAATCGTAATTTCGTATCGTAAAAGCGGGCGTCGAAAAAATGTGAAAGAAAGTTTTCGTGTTGCGTGCAGGACCTCGCTCCATGGGTCTTTTTTTTCGGAATGGGTATAGAACGAGAGGTTGAAGTTTTCGGAAGGGGAGCCTCGTCAATCGATACGAAGTAGATCCAAAACAATGCAGAGTTTCGCTTTCAAGGTATGCCTTGGAAGAGCTTTCGGGCGTGGTCTCCGCTGGGAGAGGAAATGGAATTGGCATCCGGAGAGGGGACACTTCGCCGAGTCTTGGTGTCTTGACCACGGAAATGGGTCACCAGTTGCCAACTGTCATTGTTGCTAGTTCCACAGCGTATGGCGAAAGTGTGCAACAGTTACAAAAAAAAAATGAAAGGTATTCCCAGGTTGATGGCTTAACCATTACCTTAGAATGTCATCAAAAGAAGTTACTAGGATTAAATCAAATGGGACTATTTTTGTTAATTACTCTTGAGCATGGCTTTTCTTAAGGTGTGTATCTCTGTTTTCAAGTTATTGCTTAGCCATAACTTAAAAATATCATCTAAAAATGTTATTAAGTTTAAATAAAATGAGATTATATTTTTTTGCTTGGGTTTCCTTCACATGATAACCATTACTTTAAAATACCATCTAATAAGATTTAATAAAATGAGATTGAATGGGTTTTCTTAAGATGATAAGCTTGTATATAATTTCTTCAAGTAATTCCGTAACTATTACCTTTAAATACCATAAAATTAAGTAAGATTAAATCGAATGAGATTATATTTCTTAGCATATGGTTTCTAAAGAAGATATTTTCAATTCCTATAAGTTATTGCTTCTTCATTACTTTAAAATAATAAAAAGAAAGTTAGAAGACTAAAGCAAATGAGAACATGTTTGTTATTCATTCTTCAGTATGGATTTTCTTCAGATGCCTAGCAAATATATCTTTCTCTTCGGCAATGTTGCCTTATAATTTCTGTTACAGGTTGTTTCAGACCCCTAGAAGCATCAGCTATTAAGAGTTGTTCGATTAACTTTGCCTTCCCACTTGTTTTGCTTGTTTTCCAGTCGCTTAAATCCTAATTAAAGTTCACTAGGAATTGACTGGCTGAAGGACTGGCTTGCCGAGTGGCGCCCTTGGCTGTCGTGTCGCCGCCCCCTGTTATTGATCCGCTTTCCCAGGAAACTGGCGGCCCACATGGAGTCGGAAAGTGGAAAAGGAGGGGCCGGAAGCCTTTTTCGCGTGCTGCTGC